GTCAAAATTACAACCAAATTAATAATTAAATGGAATAAATTGTGTAAATAAGAGTTTCAATCCTGTCTAACAGACCTATCATAATAGAATATTGAAAAAATTAAACATATGCACAACCGGGGGAATAATATAATATACAAATGAAGAGAAGAAAAAAAAAACAGGGCGATGAAAGAAGGAAAAGAAGCATTAAGAATTTGGAAGTTATTAAGTTATGGATTTTGCTTACATTTGTGAATTAGAATGTGCTCCACAAATATTATATATTGTAAATTACATATCCATAAAGTGCCATTAAAGAGAAGCAAAGAAAAAATTTTGCTACGCTTCTTTGGTGAGAGTGAAAAAAAGCAATATGAAGTATTGATCGAAACTAAGCAAGGAGTAATGGAACATGGAGAAAAAAAATTTGTGCTTCATACAAATCACATCTTTTGTGTATATATTGTGCTTGTTAATGTTAAATGAACAACAAAATTTGATTTTAATCAATCATGAATGGCAACTTTAAAATGCATAAATGAGTCATGAATGTCTTACTTGTGTATTGCAGCATTGATAATAAGTCTTACTGTAAATTGTCAGAGGCCATACACTTAAAAACTTTGTTATCAATCTTAATTATTGTGGCAAAGGCACAGCAAACAAATCATGAACAGAAAATTGAGTTACAGGGCGAATTATACAAGCTACGCTACACATATACATATAGTTCCTATAATGTTATTCTGTGAGGACTTACAGGATGTGTTTTTATTTTCTCTCCTTTTCGATGAATGAATGAAACGCCCAACATGACTTCTCTCATTCTCATTTTCAATTCAAATCTTGTGTCAATGTTAGAATCGTGGATGGAATTTTTCTTTAAATGTTTTTCAACCCTCTTTTTTTTGTTTTTTGTTTTTTTGATGAATATTCAGCCATGATCAAGGTCAACATACAGTTTTTCTTTCTTTTTTGTTTATGCCATAAAGCATAATTGCAATGCAATAATTTAAATATATGTGTGCAGAACAATATACACACACGAGAGTGCGCGAAACATAATTTTTTTTTTTTTATTGAAATCGAAAGTTTTTGTTTTCATCTTCTTTTATATGATGTTAAGTGAATACGTAACAAGTAAAACAGCTATACGAGAAGACTGCGAAGATGGATTACCCAAAAATAAAAATAACATCAATGCATCGCTGGAATTAATTAATAAAAGCGTGTAAACATGATATTATATCAGTGAATCATGCGGATATTTAAATGAGCAGTTCCATAAAATATTTTTGGTGCCATTTCGTGCGAAGAACTTAATACGATTTTTCTAGATAAAGTTCAAACTTGTTACATTCTAACTGCTGTTGACTTAAGTGACATTAAGTTGGATCCACAGAAAAAAAAGTATCTGATTACATGATGATACAATGGGATTGTTGATAAATGATGGACATAAAATCATGCAATCAATGTTTTTTAAAGTTCATTAAAGTCACGCATCATAGTGCTCAATGATTTGTAAGGTTTAATCCGAGAAATTGATTCCAAATCGCACTCATAATTTCGATTGTTCACGCCATTGCAACTTATATCTTCAAGTCTGTTCTATCTGGCATAATAAATTCAACGCCATAAACTCTTGCCTGCTGGATAATTCCATCATTTTACAGATTCTTAGACCTCTACATTTAAGTGACCAAACGAAACCACATAAATGGAACTATACTCAAAGTATTGCTAAAAACACTCTAAATCTGAATGAATTTAGATTTGCATTAAGTAAGGCAGGGACTTTATTTTAAAAATCCTAGACATCATTAATAAATGACGCCCAACAATCTCTCACCACACTCATCTGCCTTTCTATTTCATTAAAATTGTGTCTCTTACAAAGTTGTGCCTTTTTTGATACTTATCTTTTCAACAGCTACATCTTGTTAGGGTGTTTCGAGTCAAATGTCGAATAAATTTTTTAATGTTTCCAGTAGCTTAACATTTCGTGAACTTTATGATTACTCAACGAATCTTTACTGTGAAATTAGAAATTTTCTTTCATTAATTTCATCATGAGATATTCTACGAAGTTATGAAGAAATTATTGATTTTGATGAGCTCACATTGCATTTCCAACACACATTTATAAAAATTAGCCTCATAAATTTTACAAATTGATGTTGAAACCATGTGATTTTGGTCAGAATAGTTGTGTAAGCTACTATGGCTATAATGTTATTTTGTCTTCCTCTTGTTTGCTCCTTTTCTTTATTACTCAGTCAATTTTTGTGTGTAAATTGCTCCCAAAAGGTAGAAGAGCTCTTGACTTTTTCATGTATCTTTGAATTATGTGCTTTCTTGAGGTGCTGAACTGTTGATTAGTTTGTGAAGTTCATTTTGAATTACTGCGGAGTTGTCAGAGGGATATACAGGGTTTTTAGTGACTAGATGTCGCTTTAAGTTTCATGTTGTCTTTAATAGTTCTTAACAGATCGATTGCTGTCCCCAAAAGCTCTATTTTTACGGACCTGATACTCATGATTCTTAAAATCAACAAAAACTGACCTTTCCTTGCCTCCTCAACCAACCAAGTAGCACTTAAGTTTCTAAAAGAGCGTCTACCTCTTATTTGTTCTCATAATAACATCTTGAAGGCATTTGACAGAAAAGAAGTGTGCATAATGCGGACACTTAATTGCTCTAATGACATAGGGCGCCACTTTAAGACAGCAAAGAGCAACTCATTTTGTTTCAATTTATTTAAACTCTAATTAAAAGCAATTCAGAAATTATGCATGCACTATTTTTTTTCCCCGCGAACAAGAGAGACTCGCACCGATGACGGAATATAACGTGGCTTTATTGTTTCCAGTCATAAATTCAATTTTCTTTATTCTCAGTAAGAATATAAATTTCAGGAAATAAGATTAAGTGAAATGCTCTGATGTTGCCAAGAACTTTTTCTTTCTTTTTTCATTGACTAACTATGGCATATGTGTTGTGCAGATGGAAAGCACTTTTGGCATTGACTTACAAGTGGGATGAGAAAAATTTTTTTTTTTGTGTATTATAAATCGATAGAAGACCTGATTTTTCTTAATTGTTTCTTTCTCTATTCATTTCGTCTTTCATGCATGATTCAGCTACACAAAAAAGAGAATTTAATTAGATTAAGATGTGGAAAAAAAGAGCTGAAATTAACGTTAAATTTTCATTATTATAATAGAATGAATTGAGTATATCCAAAAATTGAATTTCGACCACGGTTTAGTTGCAGTAAAAAGCCTCTTATTTTCAAACTCAATTTTTTTTTCTCGAGGCGTCATAAAAATATATGAAATAAAACTTTCCCATTAGCTTATTGATTTCCTCCATAAAGATTGAGCATGTACACAATATTTTGTATTTTTTTGAAACTCGCAAAAAAAATTATTAGCTTCATAAATTTTCTCTCACTTTCGTGGTATAATTACTCAAATAAATTGATTTCTATTGTCTACGTCGAGGTTTTTTTGCAAATGCACAGAGGGGAAGAAGACATGAATTGAGAGTGGTTTTAGTTGCTTACTGGAAACTTAATTTTATAGAACGCATTTGAGTTGGGATTTAGAATTGGTAATATAGCAGAGGGAATCAAGCTAGGTCAGTGATGCTCAAACTGTGTATCGCGAGAGTTCCAGAGGGTTTACAAACTACTTTCATAAAAACCGAAATTTCAGACCAAATTCCTTCTCTTGACATAAAATTTGTATTAAGAAACATTTATTTTGTTTGATCTGTCACAAAACTCTAAATCCCTCTCGATCCTTAATGCTGGACGTCATTTATGAACGGCTCCAGAAGTATTTCTAGTATCGTCATATCCTCGAGATTCCTTTCAATGGTCCTTAAGCGTAGAAAGATCGAAAAGCACTGAATTAGATGGTTCTTTCAATAGCTTTTAAGAAGTAAACCTGATAACTTGAGCAATCTCTATTTAAAATAGCTAGTAAGCACCTAAACTTTAAGATACTCATGCTTCAAAAGAGTACATCCAATTTTCATTGTAAGAACAATTTTCCCGCTCAATTTCAGTCAAGATCAACAAAACAAAGCCAAAGAACTAAGTGTAAATCTGATTGAGAAATCAAATTATAGCAAAATAACAACTTTATCTACTCTTTCCAATATTTTTAGACACCAGGTTTGAATACATTAGATTAAAATTTCCATAATTTCAAGTTTCTCGATTAAATTTTTCAAATCAAAAGTTTCGCACAAAAATAAATTACAAAAACTTTCAAGCATCAATATCCATCCCAATTAGGTCAAAACATTTGCATAGCTTCTTCTCGTCAGCATTTGACCAAAATAGAAATTATAGCACATGATTGATGTAGAAAATATGCTAACAAGACACGAGAGCCTCAAAACCAATCATGTACGATAATTTATGTATTTACTGTTTACTTATTACAGAAAACACTTGAAAGTCTCTTCATTTGCGTTTATTTTGGGTATGATCTGACTTGGGGTTGTTGGGAAGTGACGTCCATCAAAACTTTGGACTATTAGATTTGATATTAATTTGTTTCAAAGCTTTAGGATTCGTGCGGATTTCAAATTCTAAATTAGTATGCTGTAACTCTGTGACTGTAAATTGTACTTAAGTCATAGGAGAACATCACAAGCTATCGACCCCAAAAGAGAACTCTCCCAACAATAAAATACTGTTTATAATTCGCACTAAAAGCATTTCATGTTTTGATGTAATTTATGGCAAGACTAAAGTCAAGAGCAAACAACAATTTCAGTGGGAGGCACTGTATGCGTGTATTGGTATGAATAATAATTCCATAACGGCAAAGTTTGCGCCTTAATAACTTTTCGAATATCATTCGTCAATTCTTTTCTTCGCTGCAAATTCAACTTAATTGAGTGTTTCCGGTTGTGCAAATGAAATATAAGTTAATTAAAGAAGAATAAGACTCAATATATTATTTTTTTCTCTGTTCTATTATTATTCGCTCTATCGTTAGACAAACGAAAAAATTTATTCTCTGTGTGAAACTTTTTAGAAGAAATCGAACGTGCACAACGATTAAATGTGATTGAACCAAGAATTTAGTATCGGATTAAATTTATAGGATATAAAATAAAGTTAATCAAATAATAAAAGTTCAGATAAAAAGTATAAAAAGTGTAAGAAAATGAGTTCAACAACTCCGACTGGTCCACCGCCAGTTCCTCCAACAAAGCCAATCCTTTCAACGCCTGGATCTTACATGTCAACATTTCAAATGGGTCCTACTGCAACTATACACAGTATTAATAAAACACATGATAAGCCTGCAATTGCAGCACGACCTATTCCACCTCCGACAGTTCCAAAATATTCGTCGTCGTTTGGAAAAATTGATCGGGACAGGAATGATTTTGGCGGAAGTAAAATTGATCGACTTGAGCGTGAAAAGGTTTGATTTTTTAGACATGAATATCTAATGAATTTTTATAAATATAGCACAGACAATATCCTTGTACACAAGTCTCTATGTATTTATTTTTAACACTTATACCAACTTAGTCATCAAATTGAGCTATAACTTTTCGTTTCATTGATTCAATTTGCTTTAACATTTCAAAATTCAATCACATACATACTGTTTATGTTGTTACTTTCCATAAATGTCTTTATACAATTTTTATTATTATTTATTTTCCCTTCCTCGACTCGTTTCATCGGAAAAACAATCATAAATTATGATTTAATTAGAATACATGAAAGCATTTTTACAAAAATAAATTAATAATAGCTCCATTCTATTTAGATTTGTATTTAATATTCATTCAGTTACGGTCTGATGAGTTTTTGAAACGAGTTGTTAAGACAAACATCTTTCTTTTTTAATTCAGGGGGAGCTGATTCTTTGATATACGATCAAAATGTATCGGAATTGAGTAAACAAATTGATTAACTTTATGTATATTAGTCATTCATTGGGATGGTAGGAAATTGGTGATTGAGATGGGTTTGAGTTTGGTTTTAATGAGATTACTTTAAAATCTTAAATATTTTTCATTTAAAGATAGTTCTGTCTACATCTAGGGATGCTAATGGTATGTAGGACTTTTTCAGACTTAATTTGTCGCATTAAAGCTTAAAATTGTTCTATTTTAGGGGTAGTTCATATATGACGTCTGGCTATATTTTTTTTACCCTCCTCCCCTTCAGAATGTCACAAATATCCTTAACTCCTTCCCTGTCATCAATATGTTCATAAAAACATTGAATTCTAGAGCATTTCTGTGTATAATTTGTAAATTTAACGGAAATTTAATTTTCAAATAATAACATTTGTATGGTTTTCAAATTTAACTTTAAAACAACCATTAAAAGTTCGAATTTGAAAAATCTATAAATCTATCAATCAATAGACAACTTTCTCCCTTTAACACAAAATTGGTATGAATGAAAGTTCCAAAACCTCTTCTGAAATATTTAGCATCATTTATGAACGACCCCATTCCTAAGGCTATAGAAACCTACCAATTACTAAGCATCTGTAATAAAACAAGTATTTTCACAAAAAAATTGAAAAATGATGATTTATTTGTTTGTGTACAAAACAAGAAGCGGCAAAAAGAGCATCATTTCGTAACAAATGCGTCAATTTTTGGGGAAGATACACAAACATTCTCTTCTTCTATTCAAGTATTTCTCTCAATAGAAAAAAGATAAGAAAACGGAAATGCTCGAAAAATAGAAAAAGAATAGAATGAAGCAGTCGTAAAAGTAAACACACGCATTATGAAAAACTGAAAGAATTATGGATTTTTGATGGAAATCCAAATTATTATGGATTGTTAAAATATATGTCTCAGATGTTCGTGCTCGATTTAATCCTGCATTTAAGCAGTGACTTCTCGAAAGCTATAAATAAATATACCGTAATCTAAACATAATTCTAAACCAAATCTATTCTAGTTTAACAAGTAAAAAAATCTATCGAAGAAATTTGAATAACAAATAAAACGTGAAATAGTTCTTAGGCACACAAGTATTATGTTTACAAACATTTTGTTGAAATTCCTCTCCATTTCACCGATGCTTGTAATTTTAGAGCATTTCTATTTTTGTGAGAACAGATTGATTTTCTGAAGATCATCAAAAATGATGTGAATTAAAAAATATTAACGGCAATTTCCAATTCAAAATGTTTGACATTTGTAGGGTTTTTAAATTGATTTAAAATGCCGTTAAAAATTCAAATTTTAAATATTCATTCAAAATTCAAATTAATAATATCCGTTAAAAAATCAATTAATCAATTACATCTTTAATTCATAGTAAATTTAGGTCTCTAAATCAGAGTTGTCACCTATCAAATTCCTATCAAAGGCAAAAATCTATCCCAGGCAGTACCTTTGACTAGACACACTTTTTTGCCTTTAGCTAAGCTTGCCTATACCTAGGTGATGACTAGACAAAGGCAAAAGCTACCATGCGTTGAGGCACTTTTTCAAAGGTACCTATTTGACAACTCTGCTCTAAATTAAGTCACTCCACTCGATGACATTATTATAAATATTTTAGAAAGACGCTCGTCATAAAACCATAAATAGACTTTCGCTTTCAATTGCATCTTTCACGGAAAAAGACTGCATGAATATTTCTAATTTATTTATAGATCAGAATATAATTTTATGAATGAATTAGGAGCGAAACAGAACATCGAAGCAAGGTCTAGGAATTTTATAATTCTAAGTTCATATGGAACAAAAAAAACGTCGTGCGTGTCGGACTGTTTTATGGAAATTAGATAGGGGGCTGTTCATAAATGACGTTTATACAGAAACAAGATTTTAAATTGACACAAAATATTTATGAAGAAAAATTTCTTTTGTTTGAAATGTCAGAACTATTTGGGGGGGGGGGGGAGGAAGGTGGGTGTTAGTCTGTCATTTATGAACGAACCCTAGCATGTAAAATGTACAAAGAAAATTCTTGTGACGCAGAACTTTTATAAGTCAAGAAATTTTTACATGCTATGACTATAAAGCAAATCTCTGCTTCCTATTTACAGTCAAGAAATGAAACTTAAGCTTATTCAGCGTAAATCGATAAGTATACTTGTGCAAAAATAATTTGGCGGAAAATTCTCCATGTTAAGCATTATTACCCTAGATTCCATTGTCGAGACTTAGAGTTCTTATTTCCCTTTTTATAATTTTTTGAATGTATTGTTCGTAATTTTGCATGTATTATAAAAACCAAATGTGTTTATTAGGAAGGAATTGGTGGTTCATATCGGTTAGCAAGTCTAGATCGATTAGCAAATCGTCAAAGGTTATTGGAGCAGAATAACGGTTTGGGACAATTGGATAATAAAAATGGAACCACTGAAAATGGTGGAAATATAACAACTGGGGTAAGAAATTAATTCTATTTTGTTGATTGCATATTTTTTGTGTATGTTAGCCTGTAGCAATGAATATCACCAAGAATTTGTGACTAACAAAAGAACCATTTTGAGATTAATTGTAGTTAAGCACGATATAGTGTAATGTAGACTAATCCAATCAAGTGTTCCTTTATATCCAACGGTTGTCAGAATTCAGAATTTAATAAATTATTATTATTAACTATTGGTAACATGATTCATTTGGCATTGAACTAAATTGGCGTTAACAAAAAAAAAATCAAAATTCAAAATTAAATTTCTTTCTATTTTGGAAATCTCATAAAAAAAAGCAGTTGAGACGATTCAGGGCATCTGGCAGCTTTTTACACACACATAAAAATGAGATCAATGATCGAAAAAAACTTTTTTTGTGTTTTTTTGAATTAGTAACAAACAAAAAAAACTTATTTCGGTTGATTTCGATTTAAGAAGCTTTAAAGATAAAATTAATTTGCAACATTCATAAATTGTTTCATTTGTGCATGCTATGGACATGTCAGAGAAATATTGGTGGCAATTTGTCGTTCGCAAATGATTCTTAGCAGGATAATTTCAAGTGCAATGTTGTAATGTGTCTTTGATCTAGGATATTAAGACAATTTTGGCGGGAAGGAGAAGTTGATGAATTTTAAACTAATCTCTTTTGCTTAAAAGCGTCTACATCTAGATTAATAATTTCTAGGTGGTTTTTTTGGTAGTTTTGAGGTCTTTGACATTTAAATAGGTTTACTAGGATATACCAGAATCTGGATGATTTCACTTCGGCATCTTGCACACATAAATTGTGACTTGGTACATTGTACAATGCAACATTAGATCTATAGGGACGGTTAACATTTTACGTAACGTTTTTACATAATTTCAATGGAAATTTACTTTGTTTGAACTGTCACAATATCTCAGACCCTCCTCCCCAATAAAAGCGTTACGTTTTAAATGAACAGCCTCTTCAGTCATGTCTTTACAATGTTCAGAGCTTGCAAGTGGCTTGAATTCCATTAAAAACAGAAGGTCTAAAAGGTGTGGCACAATAGATTCTGTCCTAATTTAAAAAAGTGGGTCCTTTCAACGATCATTATACCTATAGAACTTCTGAACGATAAACCAGCTTGTGCCATTCGGGGAAGAGTGGGTCTTGTCTTCTTTCCTCGTTTAAAAGATTTCTAACCACAACTCTAATGTGACTCATGACCCAAAATTTATAACTCTGTCTCGTAAATGGTTGATTCTAAATCATGGATGATTCAAAAGAAAATGAGGTCCAAAATCCTAGTTTTCCATAATTTTCTTTTGCGAATGGACTCCAAAGTAAATTGTTTAATACTCCATGTTTCCATAGCATGCCTTAATAAACAAAAATGTGGTTCAAATAAATACAAAAAGCTAGAAGATAAAGATTCCAACGAAAAATTATAAATAAATTTTCCAACATAGCACTTAAGCTTTTAATTCAAGGATTTATGAAGTGAAATTAAAATTTATTGACCGATGCTTTTCTAGTTCCACTTACAATTTAACATTATACATGCTGTAATCCTATCCAAATGCAGACTTTATAATTTCAATCGACGATCAATCATCGTCGTACGTGTAGCTTAATGTCATCTCATTTTATTATGATTTTAAAATCGATTTTAAATTTTGTTCATGTTTATGGAAATTCTTTGGTTAAGGTTCACTTACAAGAATCACTTATTTCAGTATTAAAATCCTATAAACCTCGATCATTAAAAGTTCTGTTTTTTTCGCCTGCGCTATTTTTATTTCATCATTCATTATAGCAATAAAAAAAAATATTTTAATAGCTTTTTGTTTTCATATTTTTTGTGTGTCTTGAGCCACATATGCGGGTACTTTAGAGCGAAGTTGTTCTAAATAAGTTTTTTTTTTGTGTCTGTCATAATTATTATTTTTGAATCTCGAGAATGTTCAAAGAACTTGAGGTTGTGATTTGGTTGGATTGCAATTTTTTAATGATGATTCAAAACTGAATTCTTGGTAAACTTGAACTTTATCATCAATTATCTACCAGATCAGTAGTTTATATTGTTCAAGATTCTTTAGGGTTGACTTCTTGGGTGTATTTTTAAGTTATACTTAGGATATATCTATTCAGGGGCGTAGTTTCTCCCCCTCCCCTTCTGGCTACACTCTAGTAGATCATAAACCTTATTTGAACCCCAAAGAGTTGACCTAGCTTAAAATTATAAATAAACGAATGATAGATCCTAAACATACCCTAAGATATACCTTAGAAATCAATCAGATTTATATCCTAGACATGCCCAAGAAACCACCCGCTGGATCAAAAATATTGACAAACATTAGTCAACTTCATGTTATGTTGCACATGTAAACAAGCTTCAGGAACCTATCAATCTATTGTAAATACACATCTTTCACTTCTTATATGCATAATTATGTTTTTTTTTTTTGGGATCAATTGGTCTATAAAATGTTTGGTATTCGGACACTAACCATAAATTTTTTTTTTCAAAATCATTTTTTTTTTTGCTTATTTTTTGGTGCAAATTTAAATTTTTTCAAATGATTTATTTTTTATGTGTGTTAATTTATTCTTATTCTTTTCATATTTTTTTTTATATTTCGTTCTATAACATCAACATGATAACAATTTAAATAACAAATCATCCAATACACGATCATCTCCTATAATTTTTTATCTACATCAACATAAAAACTCTGTTTGCATACATAAAATTGACTCTGTGATGAATACACACACATTAAATATAAAATAATAGTTGCAATCTAAGCGTGAAATGTTTTTTAAGGGTGAAACGCAAAGTAGTCCAACAGCCCCACCACCCCAGCCACCTACACCACTCATAACGCCATCTAATCAGGTAAAAGCTCATCATTAATGCCGACATAATTGATTCTTTAATAAATTAGCAATATCGTGTGTATTTTGAGTTATTATAATGCACTTTTGCGGACGCCTTGACATGGCGTAAATTCAGAAGACATTAAGTGGGTCAAGGTCATTGATTTTTTTATTTTTCAGTTGTATGGCTTTTTAAGGTTCTTTGAATTTTATCTCAAAACGATCTTTCAATGTTTAAAAACCGCTATTCTTCAAAACTATTCAAGTATCATAAAACCGTTATTCTTCAAAATTGATTCAAATATCATGAAACCGTTATTCTTCAAAATTGATTCAAATCGTAAATGACCGCTAGAATCCAAAAAATTGATTTACTGATTAGACACACGAAAAAAATATAATCATATTATTTGACTTTCTAACACTTCATTTATCAATTTTCATAGAATAACAACAACGAAAAACTCCACATTACAACAAACGGAACACATACGACTAATAATACAGTCCAGAATAGCATAAATAAATTAATAATGAAAGAGAAAGAGGCAAATGACATGAATCACCATCAAGATTCAAATAAATTGGCAACGGAACGTCAAGAGAAGGAGAAGCAACAAGCAATTGTACGGCCGAAAGTAAAGGAACTTGATGGATATGTTGGATTTGCCAACTTACCAAATCAAGTTTATAGGAAGGCTGTAAAGAAGGGCTTTGAATTTACGCTCATGGTTGTCGGAGAGAGTGGCCTTGGAAAATCGACCCTTATCAACTCAATGTTTTTGTCTGACATATATAATCAGGAACAACATCCAGGACCGTCATTTCGTGCAAAGAAGACTGTCGCTGTTGAAACGACGAAAGTTTTATTGCGTGAGAATGGCGTTAACTTGACATTAACTGTTGTGGACACGCCAGGCAAGTTATGACTGACTATATTTGTAGAAAATCTTTATTAATTAATTAACAATCGATTGCAGGCTTTGGAGATGCTGTCGATAACAGTAATTGGTAATTAATATAGACTTTATTTGTTCCATTTATCGAGATTATAATACCTTTTATGTCATATTCTATAGCTGGGCGCCAATAATCGATTTTGTTGAATCAAAATATGAAGAATATTTGACAGCAGAATCACGTGTACATCGTAAAGCTATTTCCGATAGTCGCGTACATTCATGTTTATATTTCATCGCACCATCTGGGCATGGATTAAAAATGCTCGATATTGAATTTAGTAAGATATTAAAAAGATCTCAAACCACTTGTGATTCTAATTTTGATTTCCAATTCCTCAGTGCAACGACTACATGACAAAGTAAATATCATTCCTGTCATTGCCAAAGCAGACACTTTAACACCCGAGGAGTTGCAGCAATTTAAGAAGCAAATATTAAATGAAATTGCACAAAATAAAATCAAAATCTATGACTTCCCAGAGCCACTTGATGATGAGGAGGAAGCTAAGGCACTTCGTATATTACGCAGTCGTGTTCCATTCGCTGTTGTTGGAGCAAATACGATTATTGAAATTGATGGAAGGAAAATTCGAGGACGAAAGTATCCTTACGGAATTGTGGAAGGTAAGCTTCATTTAATTAGTAAATTTTGAGAGGTTTAGTCGATTTTTAACGAATTTTAATTTCAAAATTTAACTGTTTTCAAAAATTCATATTTTTAACGAAGCTTTGGTAATTTTGAATTCAGAAAAACCGCTAGAAAATAAAATTGAATTTCACTAAATCTCACTATCAATTATATTCAAAATGTCATTTATATATGACCTTAATTTCATTTATTCCTAAAAACCGGACAAAAATCTTTAAAAATTTCTTAATTTACAGTGGAAAATCTTGAACATTGTGATTTTATTGCTCTCCGCAACATGGTTGTTCGAACGCACTTGCAGGATCTTAAAGATGTTACAAATAACGTTCACTACGAGAATTATCGATGCCGAAAATTGGCAGGGCTTGGAAACGACGGAAAGACTAAATTATCCAACAAGTAAGTATCAATTTTCTAAGTGTTTAATCTCCTCCTTTCCAACCAACCCTCCACGTAACATTAAAAACTTTATGTTCGACAATAAATCATTAATATGCTCGCTTTATAGTTTTCATTTAATTGTCTCTTCATTTCCTTTTTATCAAAAAACAACAACAAGAAATATATAAAATAACGTACATAAGTAAATGTATTAATGATCCACGACAAAACCAACATTTTCACGTTTTATTCTTTTATGTATATAAAATCTCTGATGTACAATATAGCATCAAGTAGTCGTTGATAAACCTTTAATTTTGATCATATTCATCCACTTGATTGTTCTTTTAATTTCCTTTTAAATTTTTTGTTTGTTTTTTTCTTAAATTCGAAATTAAACTCGTTTAAAAATCATGAAAAATCGATCTTTTCATTCAGTTTATGCAATCCTGGAAATGTCATGAATTCATTCGTGACTGTTTGGTAAGTGTGAATGAATCAAAACCAGAAAAACATTTCATGATAAAAAAAATTAAAAATAGTATTTTAAAAGTTTTTCCTTTTTTGAGTCTAAAACAAAAAAATTTTCATTTTCATTTATTTTCCATCATTCTTTATGCTTTTTGCTGATTCATTTAGAATGAAAAAGTCTCACACTCGCCTTACTCGCTTCACACAACAGCCTTATTTGAAATATAATATAAAATGAAAGTTCCTCATACTAGTTGAATTTATGGGCAATCATTACTATTTTTAACTGTTTTAAGCGCATTTTTGTTTAATCATTCAAGCCTTATGCGTATATTTTATTGCTTGGACTAATTAGTCACGCTACAAAAGTGCGCTTCTAGTCATCCGTAGATTGATGACTTTATTACATGTTGATTTGCATAAGTGCTTTCATTTTCCACATATATAAACACACATACACAAGATCTTTATTTGTTGTTATTCAATTAATTAAGTTGTTAACGTTTCCGATTTAATTAACTTTACTAAAGAAATTTTTACACTTTTTCCTTCCTTTCTGTTTTTGTTATCGTATAGGAATCCTTTGGCACAAATGGAAGAGGAAAAACGTGAGCACGAGTCTAAAATGAAGAAGATGGAAGCTGAGATGGAGCAAGTATTTGAAATGAAAGTCAAGGAGAAGAAGCAAAAATTGAAAGATTCAGAGCTTGAATTGACAAGACGTCACGATGAAAGGAAGAAGGTATGCAATTGGTTTTTGAATTATTTAGGTGGGTTGCTGATTGAAGCACGGAGAGTAATTTTTGTATTCTCTGTGGAAATTTACAAAACTGCTTACAAACCACTTTAATTCAATTCAATTCAATAATCAAACTTTAATGGTAGTTTATACATATTAACGGCTTTCAAAAATTCAAATTTTAACTGTTTCCAAAAATTCAAATCTTAACGTCTTTCAAAAAAATCTTAACGAAACCTTTAAAAAATTCAAATTCTGGAAAACCGTTAAAAATGATATTAATATTCAGAATAACTTTTGTTCGCAAATAACTTTAAATTGCTTACTCATGCATCTCTTCCGACAGAATGCATTAGTCACAACAATTTTGATTGAATTTAATATTCTAATTTCCATAATGCAAAGTATTTTTAAACCGGATCAGCAACTTATTTCTGAAACTTGATTTTAATTTGACAGACTAATTTTCATTCATAATTGCTTCTTTTAGGCTCTTGAACTTCAAATTCGTGAATTGGAGGAGCGTCGAAAAGCATTCGAGCAGGAGAAGAATGAATGGGAGCACTCGAATAATGTAACGTTGGATGAATTGAGACGAAAAAGCTTGGAAGCCAACAGCAAAGAGTAAGTTAAAGTTTTAATTCCTTAATTGCTTGGATTTTATTTAATTCCTTTAGTGCTAAAATATTTTTCATTAACCATCTATTCCTGACTATTTATCCTCCTTTATTATTCTTAATTTCCCTATTTATAACTTTTATTAACACATCCATACAAAACTGGGATATAAGAGAATGAATATACAGGCTATAAAATGCACAAAACACATGTTTTTAATCCTACAGAAACTAACTGAAATGTTGCTTAATTCTAGCAAAATATTCTTGCATTTTTGAATCGTATAAGCTTTTAAAGGAACTGTGCTCGATTTTATTTATCCTTTTAGTTCTTGATTTTTTTTTTGTTTGGTGATTGGTTTTACTTCTTATGTTTGATCCTAAACAGTAAAATTTTTGAATCTTTTTCCCAACATAATTTTTTCAGTTGAGCCAATATTTATAATAGCTTTTAATCCACAAAGAAGGTTTGCAAAATCTAAAAAAAAATAGTTTAGCTACTTTATTTCCTAATTTTCCTTAAACTCGAATGAGAAATTATTGAAATACACGTGATATTCCCGTAAAACAATTACAGGACCGGTTCATTGGCATCAAGAACGTCAGATGAGTCGAAGAAAAGTCGTGTTTTTGGATCATTGTTACGTCGACATACGTCATTTGGTGCACCAGATTCTAGAACTCTCACAGCTCCACCAACAATTTCAGCACCAATTATGCATAACGATAACCAGGCGAATAATCATGATTAATTTATTTTTATCAGTTTATTGCTTCTTTAGTGACTTTATTTCTTTTCTTTTTTTTTAATGTGTAAATCCAGTAGACAGGCTTTTCTTGTTTCTCCTTTTTCCCTTTAAAAGCTTAATAATAATAAGAGAGAAAAGTTGAAAATTTTAAGAGTGATAGGAAATCCAACAAAACAACAACAGTAACATTTGTATAGAAACAATATGGTCATGGATTTTTTAATTTGATTATTATTAATGCTTTTATTATTGTTTTTGACGCTATTTCATATTGAAACTGTATTAGTTATTCATTTTTATGGATTATTACTTACTTACTCTTTAATTATTTGTTTTAACGCATTTTAATATTGGCCATTGAAGATAGAGAAGAAAAAACAATAATTGTATTTAAAATGATAGGCAATTACTAATTTGTTTCATTATTAATATAAATATGATTCTTTTGGAATTGATTTATGACTTTATTATTCATTCATTGATTCGCTTAATTGATAGTCAAAAGAAATTCAAATTGGTGTTTTTTTAGAGTTTGTTGACTCTTTTATGATTGAAATTTAAAAAAAATTTCTGAGTTTGCACCAAAATTTCGTTAATTTTTTTAAAGATTATTTTGCTTCATTTGTGGTGAATTTGACCCAATTTTGCTTCATTTGTGGTGAATTTGACTCAGTTTTTGCTTCATTTGTGGTGAAGTTGACTCAATTTTGCTTTATTTGTGGTGAATTTGACTCAATTTTGCTTCATTTGTGGTGAATTTGACTCAGTTTTTGCTTCATTTGTGGTGAATTTGACTCGATTTTGTTTCATTTGTGGTGAAGTTGACTCAGTTTTTGCTTCATTTGTGGTGAAGTTGACTCAATTTTGCTTCATTTGTGGTAAATTTGACTCAGTTTTTGCTTCATTTGTGGTGAAGTTGACTCAATTTTGCTTCATTTGTGGTGAATTTGACTCCGTTTTTGCTTCATTTGTGGTGAAGTTGACCCAATTTTGCTTCATTTTTGGTGAATTTGACTCAATTTTGCTTCATTTGTGGTGAATTTGACTCAGTTTTTGCTTCATTTGTGGTGAATTTGACTCAATTTTGCTTCATTTGTGGTGAATTTGACTCAGTTTTTGCTTCATTTGTGGTGAAGTTGACTCAATTTTGCTTCATTTGTGGTAAATTTGACTCAGTTTTTGCTTCATTTGTGGTGAAGTTGACTCAATTTTGCTTCATTTGTGGTGAATTTGACTTAGTTTTTGCTTCATTTGTGGTGAATTTGACTCAATTTTGCTTCATTTGTGGTGAATATGACTCAATTTTGCTTTATTTGTGGTGAATTTGACTCAATTTTGCTTCATTTGTGGTGAATTTGACTCAGTTTTTGCTTCATTTGTGGTGAATTTGACTCAATTTTGCTTCATTTGTGGTGAATTTGACTCAGTTTTTGCTTCATTTGTGGTGAAGTTGACTCAATTTTGTTTCATTTGTGGTGAATTTGACTCAATTTTGCTACATTTGTGGTGAATTTGACTCAGTTTTTGCTTCATTTGTGGTGAAGTTGACCCAATTTTGCTTCATTTGTGGTGAAGTTGACTCAATTTTGCTTCATTTGTGGTGAATTTGACTCAATTTTTGCTTCATTTGTGGTGAAGTTGACCCAATTTTGTTTCATTTGTGGTGAATTTGACTCAATTTTGCTTCATTTGTGGTGAATTTGACTCAGTTTTTGCTTCATTTGTGGTGAAGTTGACCCAATTTTGCTTCATTTGTGGTGAATTTGACTCAATTTTGCTTTATTTGTGGTGAATTTGACTCAGTTTTTGCTTCATTTGTGATGAATTTGACTCAATTTTGCTTCATTTAAGGTGAAAATTTTGTAAACCAAAAGCATTTTGTGGTGACTTTGGTGAAATTTGACAAATCTTTTGAAAGCTTTTGTGGTTTCCAAAATTCCAAACTTTTCACAAATTCAACAAAAAGACTTTGAATTTCTTTTGCAATCTATCAAAATTCATTACTCAAAAATAATTGGATTAAAAGCTCATGGAAATCTCAGAAAAAATGCTAAAAATATCCCAGTATTGTAACAAATTCCCTTCACTTTTCATTAATATATATTAATCATGTTCATTAATGTGTAAATATATTAATAAAACATGTATTTTTCTCATCATATCACAATATATACTTCATAGAAACTTGCTAATTTCATTATCCTTTATATTATGCATTTATAGTTAATTTTTGATATTTTTTTGTTGATATTATTTTATTTTTTTGATTTTTGATTATTGAGGATTATTGTACATTAATTAATAACATTCAAATGAACATAAACCAAAACAAAACAAATTGTGTTTACTTACAGAACAATGGACGGTAAAGAGAAAAAGAAAGAGAAGAAAAAGGGCTTATTTTAAAAAATGCGCCAAATAATCTTAGACATTATACATGTTTTCAATTTGCTTATACTGATTAGGTTCCAGAAAATAAAATTGAAATAATAAAATCCACTTAATTAATTGATAGTGAATCATGTAAAAGATGAATTAAAAATTAAAAAAAAAACTAGTAATATTATGCAATAAACACGTGACGAAAATACGAAAAAAAGAGAGAGCTATAAAAAAAATTATATTTTTGCTTGAATTAATTAATTTTTATAAAACTCACTCCTGAAAAAATTTCCATTACGAGTATGTAGAGCAGACGAGGGTGATTTAATTAAATATGAAGATTTTCATATGTAATGTAAAAGATGAACGGGGATATACTATTAAAATTTATATTTTTGAGGAACCCCTCCCCCCCGTTTTCCAAAAAGTTTGACTTATTGAAGGTTGAGTTGATGTTTGAATCTTGATGATCTGGATTGTGGGGGTTTGAAATGTGTAAGGGGAATTTCATCTAGAAACTAGAAATATATCCATAAATCTCAATTGTTTCACTAATTACATCTTATTGAGTCAATTTGACATTTTTTGAGGTTCTTCGATGCTAAAATATGTCCTGAAAAACCCTCTCCCTTGAACTTTTATCTCAAAACTCTGACAAATTGTACAATTGGTACCAAATTGGTTACCTGATATCCTTGAATGCCTCAGTCCATTGATTACCTCTAATTTCCCGAACTCAAAACCTCAAGTCAGGGGTGATTTCTTCAATTCGCTAGGGATTTTTTTTCAGAAAATAGTCCCAAAACCATCCCAGACTCGATTTGATCTTAATCTCAATCCAAATTCACAATAACACAATTTAACAATTTCTTTCAATTTTTTTTTCTCATTCTGTCCAATACTGTATCGTAATCCCCTCAATAATATTTTTCAAGGTTGTTTTTGGCACTAAAAATATTCTGGATGATGAAATTAGTAACAAATTTTTTTTAATGTCTTATTCTCAAAAATTAAGTTGAATTTTTTGTGTTTGTTCAACAGATCTAATAATCCAGGGCATTTTTGGTCTAGAACGAAGAAGAATGATCCTTAAAATCTGTGAATTTAGTCTTTAATCTCCTCGAAAGCTCAATAATAAGATGAAAACGAGTATATTCAATAGATTTAAAAGTGTCGTACGTAAATGTAACATAAGATGCTGATGTGCTGTCTAGGGATGTACTTGTGACTATCCTAGATAGAAGGAAGCATCAATGTAGCATTTGTGGACGATTCTCAATCAACCAGTAAAGATCCAGCATCAACTCAGCCGCAAAAGTGAAGATTAAAGTAATCTGTAGATGCACCATAATTAACCCATGATAATAAATGACATTTAGTAGTACAGTTATTTCGGAATCGTGTTCAGTATATCAAGCATTTAAAGAGGATTTTTGGATATGAGTAATGAAAAGGTTTTACGTAGATTTTATTGAAAATAAAGTTTGAAGATGAGTCTTCAGGATTTTATTCCTCTAAATAAAGATTAAAATTCCAATTTATATTATACACACTCACACTTCGAATATTGTAATCTTGTTAATATAATTAAAAGAAGAAAAAAAAATTAAAGTGAAAAAAATGAAGAAGATTGAGAGAAAAATATTTAAAACAGAACCAAATATATGATTTAAGTTTTTTATACTATATCATTTACACACTTCATTTTAGAGTATTAATGCTCATCGAAATATTTTTTCATACTTAAAAAATTGAATGGGAATAATTAATCTGCTTTAATTCCTTAGTTCTGTGCCATTTTTTTATGAAATGAATCGAAAATCAAGTTTTTTCTAATATCTTATTAAATGAGCAGTTTATAATGCAGCACATGACATTTAATGGGGTTCTGAATTTTAAATTTTTTGAAAGATTGCATTTTTCTAAGATTTGAATTTGAATTTTTTCCGTTTAAAACTTCCACGCTTCAAATAAAAATGAATTCAAATTTTAACGAACTTTCTTCGAACACGTGATTAAACATCATTTCAATTTCAGAGCCCCAAAAAACAATTAAAAAAAGTAATTAAAAAAGACATACAACACATGGCATTTCTTTCAATTTCCTATGTAGATAAATCAAATTAAAAAAAAAATCATTGCAACTTAAAATCGAGTGATTTAATGCAGCTCAAATAGCTAATCATATAAAAAAGAGAGAAAAGAATCATTAAATCATCAGGCAATTTAACAAGATATTTCATTTAAAATTTATTTTCGCGACAAAAATGAAGATATTCTTTTGTATTAGACTTATGACTCTTTTTTGATAATCGAGAGACGAGATAAAAATTATGAAATTTAAACTATTTATCGTATTAAGTTCTTGCATAAATTATTAGAATTAAAATTTTGAATTATTTTATATCTTATGGAACAAATAAAAAAAAACATATAAAAGAATTATGCAATTAAAGCAACATGAAGAAATCTTAAACTTGTGTATAAAAACATAAATTTTTTCATAAATAAGTTGTATTTAAAATGAAAATCGTGTAATAAAAATAATTGCAAAAAAAACTTAAATCTTTTGATTATTCAATTTTCTCATTTACAGATCATTTCAGGTGAAAATCTGGCTTACATCAGTGAATTATGCTTCCTGTTAATCATAAATTTATTAATTGCTTCTATTTTGTTTACAAAACTGAAAGTCTGAGAATATGAGTCATCGTTGTATCCGATTTTAAATGAGATTCAAGCTGCGATTAATTTGTTACAGACATTTTTGACACTTGCAGAAATAACCGTCAATCTGAATTTGAATTTTATGATTTTCATCGAGTGCAACCTGTTTAATTTTTTGACTACCTCTATAATTTCAAATGTCTGAAAAACGTTAAAATATGAATTTCAAAAACCGTTTAATTTCAATCTTAGACATATTTATATGTTATTTTGAATCCTTCTTCTACAGTCCTTGCGATCTGAGCATTTTCAAAATATACTTCAGGTCCCCAAAAAATTAAATTCCAAGATAAAATTAACGATTGAAAATAATTCAAAATTTTTCCCTCAAAAATAAAAATTCAAATTCAAAAAGTCCGTTAATTGAAGCATCGATTTCAAAAATATTTCAATAACAAGAGAATAAATATTATGGACCAAAAAACAAAAACTTTTGTAAAACCAGAGGACGTGAGTTAATTAAACTAATTTTATTAATGGAAACTCAACAAATGATATAAATACTTTCAGTTTTTGAAGATACAAATTAGAAAACAGCAATTACAGCAAAGATTAAAACAAAAATCCAAAACAACAGCTAGCAACCATCAAGAAAATGATTTGAGCAATAATAATGTATTTGACAGAAAGAAACGACCCAATCCGTTTGCAAGGTAAGCATATTAAGACATTCAACAAATTCATTGAAATGTTAAACCTTAATTATTTGCGAATTTTCCAGAGATACAGAACAAAATCAAAAGAAATCTCGGGAAGATAGTTTAATTCAAGTAGATGACACAATTTTCGAGCTAATTCACAACACAACATCCAAACCAACAGCAAATCTCGAGGCACCTATATTGGAAGTACTGAATGAATATGAAAAGAATATAATTGGAATTGTACAAGAAAATACAAAAGAGGAACCGCCACAAATTGAGATATTAAAGTTTCTACCTGTTGATTGGAGCATTAAGCGATGTATAAGAATATTAAGTAAGACAATAGTTACACCAAGTACATTAAAATCATCTGTTGAAGCTTCTGGATTGACTGGATTCGTAAGATGCTTAGATATCAAAAATACAAGTTCAGGACTTGATATATCAAGCAGTGCTCGATTCCATCAGAATCTTATGTATTGGCAATCACCACATTTACCGTGGCTTAATTTAGTTCAAAGAAATTCCAGCAATAATAATCCATTCAAATTGAATGAAAATGAAGTTGATTCACTTTATAAGGACTGGATGAACAGCTTTAAGAATCTTTTTAATTTATTAAGAGCACGTCAATGTCCATATTTTTATGTCTTAGCCAATAACTATAATATCTTATTTAGAGCTGCTGGAATCGGTGGACGTGCTGAAATGCATGCTTTATTAACTCCAACATCTAAAGGATTTCGACAGATGCTTAATGATGAAGAAATTGAGTTTACACAGCCATTGAAGAAATCTGGCAAGAAGAGCTTAACACCAAATAATAGTATTGAAGGAACTGACGAGAATAACGAGGAAGAAGAAGTTGATGAAATGGCATTTTTAGAGGAACTTGGAATTAATAAAACAGATATAAAGTTTAAGGAAAATATCAAAGAAAAGCAACGTGAACTAGAAGATGATCATGGTGATGTATCGACAGCATTAATTGAAGGTGCTGATTGCCAGACATTCTTTAATTTTCTACTTAATGCGAAAAGTACGTTACCAAAAGTAGGTAAATTGGCAGGAATTCCGCCAACTTTATTAGCTCCAGTTGCATTTTTGGGAGGAACTTTAAGGCGTCAAAATATGAAAAGTAGTAAATTAAGAATCGATGGTGCTGATTATTTTTCAATAGAATTAATTGGTGCTATTTTACCACATACAGTCCATACATTAACAACATTACTATCAGAACTTAAAGATAATTATAATCTTACTATGTCCAACTACCTCAATACAATCGCATTCACGAAAGTATCAAAGGAACTTATTAATGATCTTGATACGTCGCAAACTTTTGCTGATAATGTTTTTGGAGTTGAGAATCTATCAGATTGTGGAATAGACATGGAAGTGCTGAAAACAATGTGTAGTGTCAAGTCTGAAGCTATTAACATTACAGAACGACTGCAATATTGTCGAAAATTAGGTGGATTTACTCATTTTTAGTGACTTATAGCTTTATTATGTTAAATCTTAATATGTTAATAAACTTATCTTTTTTTCTTTTAAAAAAAATATTATGATGCTGAGAAATGTTCTTAATTAATCTACAATTATGAGCTCGTCAATCGCCCAATCCTCATAACTGTTGTCAGGTAAATATCGTCGGATAATAATTGGAATCTTTCGCTGTTTTAATTCCTTCATAGCAATTTGTAATGGATCAGTCTCACCTTCTAATTCAACCATAATTGGTGCACACATAGCTATTTGTAAAGCTCTAGTTCCTAGAACTCTTGCACGCTCATATTTTGTCATATATTTTGTTGTAATTCTCTTACTTCTTGGAACTGATCCACCAGCTTGTTGCCCAGCCATTACAATCTCAATATTATCTCCTTCTTCTTCCTGGATATCTTCCAATTCGTCATCAACATCATCATCAACATAATCGTCCCCACCGGCGCTATAATTAAGGTTTTGAAGATTTCATTAAAATATGTAAACATTCAGTTTTGATCATTTATTAGGGAATTGCTGTTTATGTAATAAATATTTCAATTGTACTTACTCATCTCCATCATAATCTCCGTCATCCATAGTTTTAAATGTATTTAATCAGCGGAATAATGTAGTAAAATTAAGTTTTAAGTTGCAGCTTAAAACACGAGAATCTTCGATATAAACAACGGGAAAAACAACTTTGAGGGGAGCATCCACTTTTCGAGTTATGATGGATTGAATTTCAAAAATTTCAAAATACGTTACAACAAGTTTATTGATTAACTTAAAATACAATAGGTAGTTTGTTAAGGATTTCTCAAGGTAATTGATAATGTAGTTAAAAAGATATCTATAAACATAAAATTTAGTAGGTAAAATCATCTCAATTCGCTCCAATATTTATACTGTATCGTCATGAAAAAACCATTTCGTTTTCTTAGGATTTTTTGAACAAGTTCTGGTGTAAATCATATCATCAGGTGGTCGTTCCTTTTTTGTTGCCGATGACAACATACTTCGAATGCTCAAACAAACAGCTCCCACAGATAAAGCTGGTGTCCAATCATCGGTTAATATACTCAAACATATGTGTCCATTAGAATAAATATGGGAATGTACAGGAATTTTACCTATAAAGAGGACTGTAGGCGAATCGAATGGATATTTCTCGTTGAAACTAAATTGAAGTTGAAATGTCTCGCCCTGAATTGAAGATAAAATGAAGTTGTCCATAAAATGATGAAATTAAGGAAGTAGATGGCAATTACCTCATATATTGTCTTTTCAGCACCCTCAATTGTGACTATCCATTCGTTGATATTCTTTGCTACCTTCTCTTCATCTATATAAATTCCAGGCATTGGGTTTGTAAGTAATTCAAGCAATTCCTTCCTCAGACGTCGCTAAATTAAGTATCGAATTACGAATAAAGGAAAATTACATTGTAATTATAATTAAAGTACTATTTTGGTTGACAATGTGCTTAACTCACTTCTGCAGGACAAGACATTTTGGAACTTCTTATGAATCTAACATTAAAAATGAGCCAGCATTAGTTTTGAGATTATAAATAATTTTTTTTCACAATATTTCTTTATTTCCTTAATAACAACAACTATCTTGGAAGGCAAGCAACCTTTTTGGACACATTCACACCGTGCCTTAATATTTAAACAATAAGTTGTTGATCAGAATTATTGAGTCAATCAACTTTGAGGAAGATACGTTTTAGGATAGTAAGTTGTTGATGGAAACTGTGGCTATATGAAGTCTACAGCGTGAATAATTGTGATATCTTTATAATCAGATGTCAGTTATAGCGCACGTGACAGCTGGTGTGAATTTTAAAATTGAAGAAAAACTTGACGAATGTTTATAAACTTCCATGCCAATTGTGATTTTAATTCTGCAGAAATTCAATTCAATTGCTTTTGCTAAAGTACTATAAATAAATCTAATGTCTTATAATGGATATTACAAGATTAAAAGCTATTAATTCTAGGGAAAAAAACAGTCAAAATTCAAAAAGATTCGTTAAAAACTTGACGAAGATTTTCAAAACAAAAAAATCGCGAAATCTTTGAATTATGTTAATTATAGTTATATTTCGCTCAGTTTAATGTGTTTAAATAGCTTTTTCGCGTAAAAGTGTGTGTCAGTTTGCTAAAATCACGATAGTAATCAGTTAAGTGTAAAGTGTAGATGAGTTTAAGCATAAAATCATACAATTCTACAAGGGATAAACAAAAAAATAGCAAAAAGAAATTTTTTCAAGAAAAAAAAAGGAAAATAAATGAAAATTTACTGAAAACTCTTATTTATCAAATAAAATAGTTGCATAATCAGTAAATAATTAATCAATTCGGATGTTGAACTAGTAAGAATCGGCTGAAAAGAGAGAGAAAAGTGCATATTATTGAAAAGATAATTAGTTTTCATCGAAAGGTCAAAGAAAAGAAGACAAGACAAAAAAGAATCAAAATCTCTCATATCTACGGCAAGAAGTCAAAGTTAAGAATTTGTTTAAGTTTTGTTGTGCACTTTGTGCTTTATTTATTTCAAAACAAGCTGGATTTTTCAAGTCTCAAAGATGGATTTTTGGAGCTTGTTGGAGGGTAAGTGAAAAATTTGATGTTTACAATTACTCATAGTATAGGATGATAATTTGTTCTATGGATGTTGTATGATGAAAATAAAAAAGATTCATGCATATAATTGAATGAGCAAGCTTATTTTGATAACCTCTGATTAATCAGCATAGCATGTAGTGAGAATTTTTAACTTCAACTCTTGACGACCTCATTATTCTTCTCATCGATTATGTCTACATTTAATACACACTCCATAAATCAATGATTTTTTTAATCGAAATAAATTATTTACTCATCGCCTCCCCAAAGAACTTGTTGTAAAGGAACTTGTTAAGTGACGATATAAAATTAATATTTCATGATAAATTTCCCATCGAACATCCTCTACAATATTTTATATATTTTTTTTCGTGCATATAAGTTAAAAGTGAAGGAAGAAAGAAAAAACTAGAGTAATGTATCAAAAAGGAAATATTTCACCCATTATATAGCGACTTGCGACCCATCCGTATCGTATGTTTTTCTTCTCTCCTCATTTTCCACTTTCTTCATCTCTCATTCGCTCTCTTTCTATCGTGAATATGTAAAGAAATGAAAACAAGTAGAAATGATCGAGGCATGACACGCATTCTTGTTCTGGATATCTTATCCTATTTTTATTCTGCTAAAGTTTCGAGTGCGTCACACTAGTGAGGATTATAATTTCAATAGTCCTGCCAATTTGATGTACACATTATTAAGCAGTCACAGTATTAAACTGTAAACTCTGAACCTTGAAAATTGCCAATTTTAAATGCCGCGATCGATTGAACTGACAAAGGATAGCCAAAAAGCACAAAGCAAAATGCGCAAATAAAACACAACAAAGAATGAAAAGCAGAGAAAAGAAAGAAATAAAAAAAAAGTCGAACGATATGACGCTAGAGAGAGAAAGGAAAATTTTATTGATTTTCTCAACGTGATTTTTCCATATAAGATTTCAAGGGCCTTTTTCTTCCATGTACATGCAGCAACTCTTACCTCATGTACAATACAGAGAGAAGATATACACGAGATATTAACATTGGATCAATAATTCGGGAAAGAAAATAAAGTCTTTTTTTACTGCATCATAAATCAATGAAAATTGTGTATATCTGTGCACTGTCTTTGAGACTTTTTGGCTGATATAAAGTGTAGCTAGCGAATATATATAAACATTTGTGTCATAAGAGCATGAAAAGAAAAGAAAAATCAGAAATCTTCGCACAATAACAAGCTTTTTTGTACGCTTTTCCGATTGTTTCACATACGGTTGTTGTTTCATACTTTAATACATTCTTAATTGAATATAAAAAAAACCTTATTTGGCATGTGTATGGGAAGATACAACTACACATATTATGGTTAGTGCTTACAAATCATTCGTGCAATGTGGACTTTTACTAGTTTTATATCAAAAAATTCATCAAATAATTCGGCAGAACATGATACAATTCGTTACTCAGTGATTCCCAGCGATTCTGGATCACGAAGACATTTGTCTAAAAATTATAATCTACCATTGGATCTTGATGAAACCATAACGTGCTTTTGTAGGTGAGTGAGTGCGACATTAATGACTTTATTTTCACTTTCAAAAGTGGATTAAAATTATTTTTGAGGCGTGCTCTTTGACTCATATCCAGCATGCTCATGCTGACTTTTTTTTAAGTGAAACATAAATTGATTAAATCAAACATTAATTTTCTTTCAAAGGTCCATTATGGATTGAATGATTTTTTTATGCAATAGTGCTGCTTGTTTAGGAGTAAAAGTAATTTTCTTGTTGTAGATTGATCACCTTTTTATTGAAATATTTAAGTTGCTTCATAAATCATAAAATTGGTTTATGACCTTAATTTTTAATTGCGAGGTTTTTGATCAAAAAGATTTTGTGATCCTTTGAGCTTCCTTTCATCCCCTCTACGTGATTAATCCTATGTTAACTTTTATTAATTGTTTAATTATTAGACGTCACCCAATTATGCATAATTTTACATGTAATTAACTCATCGACATGGTTGGAGTATCTAAACCGTTGTAGTAGTGTCTGCAACCGTTGTAGTCTCAGCAACTGTTGTTGTCGTGTCTTCAACCGTTGTAGTCGTGTCAGCAACTGTTGTTGTTGTGTCAGCAACTGTTGTTGTTGTGTCAGCAACTGTTGTTGTGTCAGCAACCGTTGTTGTAGTGTCAGCAACCGTTGTTGTAGTGTCAGCAACTGTTGTTGTGTCTGCAACTGTTGTTGTTGTGTCTGCAACCGTTGTAGTGTCAGCAACTGTTGTTGTTGTTTCTGTAACCGTTGTAGTGTCAGCAACTGTTGTTGTCGTGTCTTCAACCGTTGTTGTTGAATCTCCAGATGCATCTGATCCGCTTCCACTATCATTTCCATCTGATCCGCTTGCTGACATGTTAGTCTGATTGATATTTTGATTTATAGTATTTCCATTCCCTAAAATAATGTTTGAATTGTTCAAATCTCCAGTTGCTATACTTGTACTGCTTCCATTTGAGCTTGTGCCTGATGAGCCAGAGCTAGATCCAGAGGATGTGCTTGATCCTGAGCCTGATATTGTAATATTCAAAAATGGCTTGATAAACTTCCATAAAAAGATGCCATCGACTTCACAGTTCTAAAATGTGACAACAAATTAGACCTTCTTATCTTACATTTATCAGCATAAAAAATTTAAGAGCTCAAAACACGAATAGTTTAATTGTTGCGTCAAGACAATTTATAGGTGTATCTGCACACATACACATTATTGGCCAATAAATTTATTTTCTTTCTCTACCTGTAAAGTCATTCCATAAACCAGAAAAGCAAACAATAATGCTAGTCTCATTTTAGTATGTGCGTAATATTTCTACTTATAGTCAGTCACAATCACAAAAAAAAACAACAATTTATAGTGTTGATAACAATATTTATCAAACGATGAACTGCAAATGATATATGACCGAGTTTCTACTTATATACACGAATTTCTATTTGTTTTTTTTTTCTCCTCTATCCGTGTTTCTGGTTCTGTTCCTTTTGTATTGATTAAAATAATAAGATGATGTACACATGAAATATCCACGTGATTATGCAAACTAAGGCAGGTTGTTGCAAAAAAAAATAGAGAAGAATGAAAATGGGGAGGGAAAAAAGTGTGGCATTTTACATTGTTGTTTGTGTAGTTCAGAAAGGACGTCATTTGTGAGCTATCATGAATGTGAACAGCTGTGAAAAATGTGTTTACATGAAATTGAAAAAAGTATTCTTACCGTAACATGAACAATGTGCAGAAAAAAGTAGTTTTAAACTTCTGGAATCTGTTCGATTCATAAAAAAGAAAATCTCATCTGTTCCTTTCCATGCATATTGTGTTTATTTCTCAACAAGAACTTTATTAGCATCTGCAATACGATGATTATGTATATATACATAAATGTGATTCCAATGTTTACAGAACTCATGTCTGCATTTCACTTGACTTCCTCAAGTCATTTTATTTACTCCAAAACTGGGGCGTATTCAGGCATTTGATTTCTTGACACTATTATCATCTCATAACCTAAGTCTACCTCTGCTACTTATGTAAAAATTTCAAAATATTTACTCAGCTGATCAACATCCCAACAGAGAAATTAAATCATTCATGTAAGTGCATTTCCCAATTCCTGTACAATAGGCAGTGAAGCGCAAACAAAACAGAAAAATATAAAATATGTAAAAACGTCATATTCGGTAACATTGAAATTCAATCGATGGTTCAGGAAAGGGAATATAAAATGTCATATTTACACTTGCGGTTCTTTGTTCTTTGTCATTGTTTTTACATTGTTGTGGATATGAATGAATAGGACATGTAGGTCGTGTCAGGAAGGAACTTTCAATCATTTGAAAGAAGATACTTATTGCTATGAAGACGCGACCTGTGGAAGAAGAGGGAGAAATAAAAACAAACTAAAATTTATGTGAAAGATAAAGAGAAGAGATCATAAAAAAGAACTTTATTTATATCTCGTACCATCCATTCTATTTCAAGGAATTTTACACGATTTTCCTTGTTTTCTTTTCATTTGTTTTTGTTCTCATCCTCATCGCATAGCTAATTTGCTATTACTTCCTATGGCTACATACCTCGAATATCGTATGTTTTGACTTGTACCTACTTACTTATGTATTTGTAAGTCTTACGGATGATTCAGGTATAATAAAAGAAAGAAATCCTATTGAGTATGTAATGCGGACTTTAAAATTAGGATTAAACACACCTGATACAGATCAAAAAAGGAACATTGTGCTACGGTTGTAATCAACATTTGAGAGTGTTGAGAGGAATAGACTTTTAAATGCAATCATTCCTTTTTGGGTGGGCGACGCCGTCAGGTGAAAATTAAAGAGAGAAACCCGAAAGAATGAGTCAGAACAATGTAAAAGATCAAAGAGCAACATGTCGAAAATTCCACAATTTAAACTTGTTTTAATTTCTGAGTGTATTTTTTTGGTACCGGTGCGCTTAGTCATTCAATTTGACAGGGAAAGTCTTTTGATCTTTAATATTATTTGTCAATTAAGATGATTGATATGTTGAGATGTTTACAGTAGAAATTCTGCCATGTTTTTCTGCTGATCAATCAATATATTAGAAAGATTTTGTTTATATTTGTGAAATTAAAATGCAAAAACTTTTTCAAGTGTGCAATTCCGCCATTTTTAAAATTTTGAATTTTTAATGTCAGTTGAGTAATGTCTTAGAAACCACGTGTATTATGCGCTCTGATCTGCAATTGTGTGAGGATTTTCTCTCGGCTAGAATTCATGGGAGGGAGAGTATTTATTCTCTGACCTTAAATCATCTAGAATTTCGGCGTAATTGTGAATGAGAAAATTATAGAGCTATTTTAAGCAATGAGAATGAGCAAATTTTTGCAAAAAGCATAAAGAAGATTCAAAAATATGTAATTAATTCAAGAAGAAAAAATTTTATATTATTGAAGTTACTCTCTCTCGCCGTTCTTCTTCTTTATCTTTTCCCATTTGTTTGAGCAAATAAACAATTTCATCACGGTGAATGATAAAGTTAAACAAACGGTTGTTTCATAACCATCATGATGATGATTATAATTTTTTTTTATTACTAACTAGTTCATGCATATCTACTAGATTTTCTACTGTTGATTTATATTTTTATCGTTATTCATAAAGCACCAACTGTAGTACGAAAAATATTATTTTCTTTTAATAATTTTTAATGCCAAAAAAATGTCAGAATAATTTTTTTTTTCTACCTTCAACATTATTACATTGACTGTCTTGGGAATTTTTGTGTGCCTCTCTCGCTCATCTTTTTGTTCCTTCTTTATTTTTATTGCTTCTGATGCTCAATGAAATTGTTCTTACTTGTTCTTGCATTTTTTCCTTCCTTTCCTTTATTCCACAATTTTTTTTCATTATGACTGAAGGCAAAAAAAAAGATGAAAAGAACGAAAAAAAATAATAATAAGAAAAGAAAAATATTAAAAAAATTTGAGATGCTTCGCAAAAAAATGCCATGTGTTGCAACATGAAGCATTGAGAGTCAGCAATGAGAAAACAACAAAAACATTCGAAACATTCAACCACTATAGTCAAGTTTCAGAAGGAAAGAAAACTGTCTGTTAGTTACAAAAATACATCCATCGCGTTAAAGTCGTTCTCTTTGAAAACTCGTACTGATTCATTCGGCCATGAGCTGAAACTGTGTTTTTTGCTGTATATTTTTTTTAAGTTTTTTTGTTAATTCTTCAGTTTCAAAATTTTTCGTCTAAAGTTTTAAATATATTTCTTTGTGGCTTTATGATGAAATAGTTAACGTCAAGTTTCGACAATCAACGCTTAAAAGTTTGATGGTGAAATAAGAGAAAGGCGAGAAATTTTCTTGATCCTTGTCTATTTTTGTGTGAATTATTTAAAGATGAAAATTTTGCTATAATAAAAAATAAAAATAAAAAAGAAAAAAATTTCATCAAAAAATGAAGTGGAATTAAGAAGAAAAATCAAAAAAGTGTAATGAATGAAAAAAGGTGAAACTCGAAAAAGCATAACGAAGTGAGGAAAAGCAAAGAAAATTAACAGTACATTTTGAAACAATAAGTAAGAAGAATCTCAATGTATATGGCATAAATGAACAGTTGGAATGAGCGCAAAAATGAATTACCTCGTAATAATGTGTTTCTTTTTCTTCTCTCTATTTTACAAGCATATGGATAGAAATGATTCTAAATGCAAAAAAAAAGTTCTATTAAATCACAGTGCAACGGGATAAACTAGTCTTGTACACTATGTACATCTAGATGTCTTTCTCTGTAGTATTTCTTTGCCTTCAAAAGCATTGAAACATTTTTTTTTACTTCTGCTTTATGCTTGTATGAATTGGCAGTCTCTCGTGTGTGTCTGTTTTTATTTTGTTCACAAATAATAAAAAAAAAGTCCTCCTCAAGACTAAGATCAGCTGATACACAATGTGTCATACGTGGACGTTTTTTTATGTAGCAATAAATGAAATACAACTCGCGCATTTCATGTTTCAACTGCTGATGCTGAAAATATCATTTTTCTTTTTTCACGAAAATGTAAACGAGGAAAATTTTTACTTCGTCGAGACTTGGAAAATTCACGAAAAAAAAATTATGAAACTGTAATGAATCTCATGTGTCCGACAATGATTAATCTTTTCATTATTGACTGCTTTCATTAGCAAATGAATGGTTGTGAAACGTGCTTGTATCTTTCATTAATTAGAATTAACATGAGAAGTTTTTGAATCTTTAATGTATACACATCTAGTCTCTCATTTACAATTATTATTATTGCCTCAACTCATATGTCGAGTTCCATCTAACGATGAATTTAAAATCTAGTGACGCAATGTTAACAGCAAGTATTAACGAAAAAACAGCATCATGCTGCTGGTGCCTCACTCGCTGCTATATCGAGAGACATGGAGCGAGTAGAGAAGAGGAGAAAAAAAAAATCACACGATATGTAATAATTGTAATTGTGACGTTGAATGTATGTCAATTTTCCAATGCGCACTTTTTTTTCCTCTCCTCTACATCTCCGGCAATTTATATTCCTATGAACTGCCGATGTCGCTTAATTAAATTTAATTGAAAGAAGTCCAAAACAACCCGAGCAAGTGAGTAAGAGAGAATAACGCACGATAACAGCATTGATGAACAACAATAAAGCAGCGTGGGGCAGTCAAATAAAACTGCTTTAAATGCTTATCAATTGATAATTCATAGGACATTTAATTATTTTCAATTTTGAGATGATAAATATAAACATCAACATCGATTATGATGATTAAACAGTACGCTCGGTGTCGTATGATTTTGATAGAAAGGATGAGACGACATCGACGACGACTTATTGACGTAGCACAATTAATTCATTTAGCAGTGTATTTTTAATTAAGTTCAGTCTATAATTATGTAAATAAGTTTACTTTACTTTACTTACTTGCTTAATGACTAGATTATTATTACATAGTAATAGTATTTTGTGCAAAAGTTATATTTATCAAGTTAACTTTCAATGAATGAGCATTTATTATTAAAAAGAAAAAATTTGAACAATATAGTTCCTCTTTTGCTTAGCGTAAATACTTAACAATTGTAATTCATGATAAGCAAAAATAAAATCACATAAATTTTCCAACTACACAGTGTGAAATGTGCTAAATATATGTGTTAATAGTTCTAACAGAAGGAAATAAGTCGTTGATTTGAAAAGTCGTTCTATTTACATTTTTAATTTGCTTTTTCTTCTTAATTATTTGCATAAATTATCGAAACTTCAAGGCGAATTTTGTAATGCTTACTTACTTACTTTTTCGAAGTAAGTGCCCTACTCGGAAATGATTTCGTTACTCATCAGACAGTTTTGTTAATGATAACACATTTGCTACGCAAATGAATAACTCAAATAAACATGTTTTACATTAGTGGTATGATTCTGTTCACAGCACCGAAGCCGTCAATTTGTTTCCTATCAAGGTTTCTTCCTCATTTACCTACTTGCTTATTACATTGTCTCTTTCGGGGTAGCATAATTTGACATTTCTCGATCTTCCAGGAATATAATAAAGACTTTATAGAGCACGACGTAATTCTCAAAAATGCTCATCAACCATTTAATTTTTTCTGTTCGGTTTCTTAATCCATAAGATTATTCTTGTTCTTGTTTTATTTCATTAAAATATCATTTTGTTGTTACAGAAACTTTATGACATGTGACTCTCATTCATAATATCAGATTTCTAAGTCCATCAAAAGTCATTCTTGAAAGCTCCAGTGATTTCGTAAGAATGAAGCTTAAATTTCAGAGCTTAAATTACAAATGCAAATTTTTTCCACGTTGTTTTGTTTTTCACTTACTTTATATTCACATTATACATATTTTTTTTGCATTGTAGTTTCACAGCGCACTTTTTCGCTTGCCTCGTGTAACAGTTTTCTATAATGTTCTCTGTAATTTGATAATTTGCATGATGGATATTTTTCTGTCTGACTGTCTTGTTCTCATTTCCTGTGTTAGTCTAGTTCATAATGTGATGAACAGATTCTGACAGGTACTTGTGAAATATTTGTATCACTTCCTCGTTTTTATGTCTCATTCTTTCGGTATCATAACATCCAAATTTAGTCTATGTACCTTGCTGGTGATTGAAACCCTTAGTCACTGAAGTACTTCAACATCCAATTGTGCGTCAAATAAAAATAAAATCATAAATTAAAAGAGGAACGATCTAGTTTATTTACAAGTGAATTAATCACCATAAATTTATAGATCATTCACAACAACTTAATTTCTACCTTACATCCTGTTTACATTTATTTACCTTTTAAACTTTTTATTAAAATGTCGATTAAAATGCGCGACTTATGAGCTGCATGAAGGCCCCAGATATTTATTTTTTTCTAAATTTGCTGACTTTGTTATGTGCTGTCTATGTTGATGATGATGAAATTTGTAACAATACTTTTTTTGAGCCCTTGTTATAAAATCTTTTTACATTATTTTCCATACCATAATTATGATGATTTTTCTCTCTTTTTCTGTTGCTATAAAATTCATTGTATTCATGATTATGCGCTGCTTTATGGAAATTGGTTGGTATTCGTATCTGTGCCTCAATCCAAATAAGTAAAATAAATTCATTACTTGCTCTTACATGTATTATATCTCCATTGTATTCTAACTTGGAGAAGAAATAAAAATGCGGCACGGTTTTTGAAGCATCGATGAGATCGAGATCACTTTAAGCTGAGTTCTCTCACAATTTCTTTTGTTTTTCATCAAGTCGTTGTAATGGAGATGAAGTTTATGTGTCTATCCGTCGATCTAACTCTCAATACATGTTTTTTTCTTTTTTTGAGGCAGGTATAAGAAAATGATTTTGCATAATTATCCATAAATATCTCATCCATCTTCATTCCATCGTCCGTTGGCTAGAATAATGTTTTAATGTTGTTTGTATTGTTGATGATGATGATGAACCGTAAATGAAAAGGATGTTGAAAGGAATAAATTCAAAGAAATGAGAGATAAAATGAACAACATTTTTAAATCAGTGGGATTCATCCTTTTCTTCTTAATTAATTAACCTCCTAGGTTATTTAAAGTGAACCATTTGTTACTCAATGTCTGCCTTCTTTTAATGTGCATTAATAATTCTTGGTTTAATAAATTTAATGATCTTTACTTGAATGGAATATAAAATTAATATAAAAGTGAAAGGAACTTGCTTAACCCAAAAATGGATCTAAAAATCAAATCAATTAATTCAATCAAAATCATTTATACTGACATTCAGGGTTGATACCTATGCACAGCAGCTCAGCTGTTACATCTGCTAGATCACCTGATATATACAACCCTGTTGCCAGTGTCTGTCATTCTCAACGCGAAAATTATAAAAATAAAAAAATTATCTCTCTTAGTCAGCTCAGTTACTAATTGAAAATGAAACGCTTGTTGTTGATCATTTATTAATTAATTTAAAAAAAAAACTGTTCTGTGTATCAAAATAAATTTTATTTCACGGTCAACGTCACGTCGATCGAACGAACGAAGACTCATTCTAGCTATTTACATTCGGTGCCAGAAAAGATATCATTTTTACACGTGCATTAACATCACTTTTAGTTTTCTTTGCTCTTCCGAATGCAATTAAACAAATATAAATATAAATTCGCGCAAATAAATCGATCGGCATTTACAGCAAACAAATTTTGCTTGCTTTCTGTTTCGCGAAATGAAAAAAGAAAGAAAAAAATGTTCTGACGAAATTTAAGTGAGAAAAAAAATAAATAAAAAATATAAAATAATATTTTTTTGCCTTTTACAGAGCTCTTTTTGGTATTGAAGGTTTCGCTATTTCAATTCAGTGCTGTTTTCATATTGTTTAGTAATTTGCAACTTAAGCTATTAAAAAAACCATAGCTGCTGAAATATAATTTCTGCTACTTGCTGTGCTTTGTTGAAATACTAAAAGGAAAGAAAAAAAAAAGAAAAAAAAATTGCTGAAGTGTAACATACAATAAAAGAAGAAAAAGAACTTTTGCATATTCATTGGAAGTGTATGTAAAAGTCATAAAGTACATGCACGTTTAGAAACAAAAATATAAAAAAATTATATAAATCAAAAAAGGAAGTGAAAAAGACTATTACATAAACTGAAACTGAACTCTGATCAAAACGTTGCCGAAAATTGAAAGCCTAAAAGGTCTGGTGAGAATGCTCCGATCACCAGCACATATAATTGGTCCAACTGCACCAGCCACCACAACATCAGGCTTATTTGACTCATGCCATCGAAAAATAAGACTGATAGGAGGCAATTTTGCATTTTTCGGTGGTCTTATGTCGTAAGTATTATTCTTATTGTCGTCTCTGTAGCTTTATGGATTCAGGGATTGTTAAAAATTAATTAATGTGAAGGGTTTCAGTCTTAATTCTGAGTCATTTTGTTCCGAATGTCCAAAAAAAAAATCCCCGAATTGACAACTCATACCCCAAGCTGAGTAGTAACCAAAGAATCCACCCGAACATTATTAGTGATGATGACTTAAGCGATATTACTCAATGATTTTAAAAACGACGTCTTGAGAAATATTCTAAGCATTCACCACACGGTTCATCTGATTCCATTAGTACGTCTACAAAAAAAATAATACTTTACATTTCGTCTTCTTTTAATTCTTCGGTATTATTCAATTGAAAATGAAAAAAAAAAATTCATTCTTTGAATAGAAATAATAATAAAAAAAGGTATATAAAGATTGTGTTAAAATCGATGATTATTGTTCTTTTTTTTCTCTTTAACGGAACTAAATCCCATCCATTTACTTACTCACACTTCTTCTTCGCTTTACCTTCTTTTTGTACTTTATTCTTCTTTCTTTATTGAATCAACTGGTTGAGGAAAAATTTTGAGAGAGAAAAATTTCTACAGACGATTTTAAGTTTTATATTAATTGATGGAAGATATATTGTAAAGAGAATAAAATAGTACGTAAGGGGCCGTATACTAATGACGTCGATCAATAAAATAATTATTTTAGACCACCCTTACACGAACCCTCTCAAAATGTTCATAGAAAAAAGTTAAAAAGTGTCACTGAATCTCAAATCTTCCTAATTTATGGACGTCATAAGTGAACAACCTTCAAGAAATTGGGTGGAAATGAATAAGAGAGTGAGTAATAATAACCGCGATTGTGTAAAAAAAATATAAAAAGTAATTCAAGAATTTCATTGTATGTAAAAAAGAAAGGTCTGGCTGGAAATGTGAAATAATAAGAAGGAAGACGATGGAAGAAAGAAGTTAAAATCATTCTGGATGGAATTTTCTTTTCAAGAACATAATGATTAAGGGTATTTTTGCCTACATATGTGTTCGGAGAAGACAATAGTAATGCCGACATTACAGTATGTATGTTTTTTCCGTCTTATGTTATTTTCAACTTGACGGGGCTTTCGTGCTTAACGCAATGAGTTTTCTATTTCATTCTGAAGTTTACTAGTTTTTTGCTTGCTTGCTTGTTATGTAATATTTCATTGCGAGTATAAACGAGGTACAATGCGTAACAATAACATTTCTTATGAGGATTTATGCAAGTGCTCTTCTAATCTACTTTTTGTTCGCTTCCGAATGAATAAAATAAATATGACGGCAGTCTAAATTAATTTCTTGAGAGTCTCTTCCTTTTCTTCTTTTTCTCCCATAATGATGATATGTCTATTGTTCTCTTAAGATCCGTCTTGATGGTATTAATAAGTATGTCTGTGGGTGTAAAATGTTAATGCGAACAGGTGATGACTCTATGCTGCTGTGTGACACTATTCAAATAAGATTTTATGAGCTAGGGTCTCTAGTGCTCTTATACTTTTGAGAATATTCCATGACATTCAAGTCTGTAGCAGCTTTATTCCAAAGGTTAAGGTCGTTTAAGAATTAAAATGTAAAGAAATCGAAGTCAGAAATGTCCTTGAAATTGACAATGCTAACTACTGCACTAGAGTTTCAACTATTTCGACTTGAATCTAAAGAATTCCAAATGTTGAGCTTTAGTCTACTTCATGAGTAATTCGAGTGCCTTTAAATCAGTGACTTTGTAGCTCTACAACAACTCTCTTTCTAATTCCCATGACACAGTCAATAAAAATTATAATAATTTTCACGTTTTGTGTCATAATGACTTCATAAAAAAACATGAAATTTAAGACATTATTGTTAGACATTTAATAAAGTAATCTTATTAATCTTATCTTTTGCTGCATTTCATAACAGAGCATTATCTTATTTGGTTCCCAGGAAATTTATACAGAAAGAAGAATTGTGTGTATATTTTGGAGATAATGAAGAACGTCTATTGTTAAATATTAATGCTTTCTGTGATATCATATTCCACTCTGTAGACTGCAGCAGAGACACAAATATTGTCAGACCGGAAAAAGCACAAAAAAAATGCAATTATTTGGAAATGCAATGCTTCTATTTATTATTTATTAAATAAATATGGATAAAACGTGCGCGATTGTGCAAATTTGCATTCTTCACTTACAATGAAATAAAGTCATCGCCTATTTGGAATTAAATAATGTATTTTCCACGTAATTGATTAGTTAATGTCTTGCAATGTTGAATACTGACGAGAAAGTTAGCATAAACTTTTAATGAACATTAAAATTGATTAAAAAGTTAATTTTTTTTATGTTCCCAAATTGTCGACGACGGCAAAATCGTTCATGGATATTAAACAAAAATTGAAAGTGACTTAAAAAGTATTTAACTTGATGACTTTTACTAATAAAATAGCAAACAACTCAATTTAGCTTCTATTATCTAAGATTATTTGCTTTCGTCCATTCATATTTTAATATTCATATTTTCTTCTCTCCTATCCGATTGACTAATGTCTTGCCTGCATGAAGTATAAGTAGTTAACAAGTTTCACCATTCAATCTCTTAGTTCTTCTCTATTAGATGAGGAAACATTTGTTGATTCATGAGAATTTCAACTTCTTTATCTATCTTAAATATATTTTTAAGATAAACATGCCTCGAAGTTGAAGTTGAACGACTTTGTGGATATATTCACACCGAAGATGTAGGCTTAGCTTCAAGTGAATATATTTGTGTAAACACTCGATCGCTCGTTCACGTTCTATTTCTCTTCTATATGTATTCATTCTCTTGAAAATCATCCCATATATATTCAAATACGGTTCGACAACTAGAGATCTTCTATTAAGGAACGGCTGTTGGCTGTTTCTACTGCTTTTTAAAATAATCAAAGAGAAGAAATTTTCTTTAATGGAAGAGTTACTCAATATTCTTCTATTAAGTCAATAAGCTAATAAAGTAAATAGATTAACCGTTAATTTAAGAAACTTTTTCAAAGCTACATCATCTATTGGACATTTACAGATGACGTCAATCAAAATATTAGAATTTAAATCCTCTACAGAGTGTCATCAGGCACAAGAACCCTCATTTCTTACATGTTTAAATGAAGGAGACAATGACACTCAAAGGTTCTGAAAAAATGCTTTAAAATTCAGTATTCTGATTAAAGTCTTCGGCGAACGATCCCCAAACATAAATTTGTAATTTTTCTCTTCAAAGTCTGCATATGATGCACTTATGAATCTGAATCTACACAATAGCAGAAAAATTAAATTTGTAAAAGATTTTGAAAGATCTACTGTCGAAACTAGCAACACACAAAAAAGGCTAAAGTAAGAGAGTAAAAAAAGACTTGATGCATGATTTTAATTTTATTTTTTTGAGAAATTAATTTGATTTCATCATTCAATTTCGTTTTTCAATAAAAAAGAAAGTTTGCTCATTGCAAGGCCAGATGTTCTTAAATATTCAAAGCTCTGTTTTGTTCACACACAACAACATTAGGAACTTGTTTGAAAATTTTCAATAATATAAAACAACAATAGAGCATTATTGATTCTTATTATTCGGATAAGTGAATTGAAGTAGAGTTTTATGAACTAGAAATCACGTCTATGACAATGACGTGCTTTGCATTTCAAAAGCAAATGTTCTTAAAAATGTGTTTATGAATTTCATGCACGGCAATCAACTCTGATTATCCTTTTGAATACAACTTTGTAGTGTGTAAATTGAAGTTGGCAAAGTATGGACTTATTTATATGGAATTAATTTATGTTTATTTCTTCTTGAAATTTAAAACGCTTTCTCAAGTGTAAAATTACTGAATGAAACTCGAAAATGTTGTTAATTATTATTTTATTTATGTATGGTTGTTCTTTTTGATGGATTTGTGGGAATTTATGAATGAGATTTTCCAAGTTCTTGTAAGGAGGGGTTCAAGAGTTCGCTTTGAAATGTAAATGTGGATAAGAAGAAAATTACAAAACCTGGCAAATCTGTTTTAAAGGCACAATATGAATCACTTTACTTCCTTCTGCAATAAAACTTTTTCTTTAATCCAGTAAAATTTCACAAGATCTTGTAAGCTAGTAAATTATTTATGTAACTACGGAAATGAATCAAATAAGAAACTACTAAAGAATTTCTTTTGTGACTGTAAATGTTTGTAATAAATTCCGGAAGTATCTTAATACATGTACATTGATTTTATTATTGATTATGATTGCAAGATTCATCGAGCATTAACGGAATTTCTACCTTCTTTTCTTCTCAATTCACTGATTCACATAATTGAAGGCACAATGCATTAAGTATAGAAATAGAACAGAAAACAATCAAGACTAAGAAGAGAAATGGAAATTGATGTTCGTCTTCGTTTTTTATGCAATCTGTGTTTATCTTCACATGAAATATAAATTTCTTCTTCACATAAAAGCGAATGAAAATTTAGAGCTGCCAAAAGAATTCAAATAAACACTTCCAAAAAAAAAAAAAATGTGCAGATGCAAAATTAGCTGCGATAAATATTTTAACAATGAGCCTTTCCTATGTGCTATAAAAAGATATTTCACGATTAAGTCAATTGTGTTTAATTTTTTCAGCAGCACTCAATAAAACGAAATGAAAATAAACATAAAACTTGATTTGAGATGCGATTAAACTCCCACAAATTAGTAACGAAAATGCAGTAGCTTGACAAATTTTGAAAAGCATTATTAATCAATCGTAATCGTTTGAATCATCAACTTTTGTGTTACGAAAACTTACTTGAGGATTTTTCAACATTTCTGTTGTAGGTTAATGCAATATTTAATTGGTCAAAGAGTCGTGTAAAGGCCAAAACTAAACGATTTCGATATTAATGGTTTTTCTTCTATTTTCATTTCAAATATCGTTAATAGCTAATGGATACTGACAACAAAAGTGAGTGTGCTGAATGTTGCTGTATCTACA